AACATTTTGCGGCAACAACAAAACGTGAGACATTTGTTGTTTTTATGTTTATTTATTGTTTTTATGTTCAGTACGAAGTTGATGTGCAGTTAATAAGTGCAATAAATATTTATACTGGAAAAGAAAATCGTGAGAGAATCGTGATCTCAATTCTAAGCCAAAAAATCGTGATTCTCATTTTATGCAAAATCGTGCAGCCCTAGGTTAAGGTACCCAAAACAAAACCCTTGTGGAGCAGAAAAGAAGAAGTTTCTTCTGGCAGTTCTCCCATTTACATCAGGTTACCACAGCGGATGGATCCATGTATTTGATTTTGCACAGATTTGAATGCTGCCCTTCCAGACACCCGCACCACCACCATCTGTGCCTCTGTGATCTTTTGCATATTAAGCAAATGTGTTAACCATTACACTATGGAACTTAAATCCAACTAAAAACCTTTAGCAAATGACTTTCTAGGATGCAAGCCACAACCTTTTCCAGCTTCCTTTTTTTATATTGTGGCTCAATTTCGGGGGCACCACAGCACATCATCTGCAACCACCTCACCCTCTCTTTGGCATCACATCAATCCTCTGCATGTCCCCCATCACTACCTTCTCGAGAACTTTCTCTGAGGTCCTCTAGCTAGCTCCATATTTCACATCCTTTGTCCAGTGTATGCACTATCCCCCCGTTACACATGTCCAAACCATCTCCTCTTGCTTTGCTTACACTGTCTCCAAAATGCTTAGCTGGCACTGTCCCACTGACATACTGTGACACTAAATCTGTCCCTCCAGGTCACTCCCAAACATCTTCATCCACCTCCTCTCTTTGAGTCAGACCTACCATCTCCAAACCATACATCAAAGAGGGTTTTCACAACAGTGTTAACAACCTTCCTTTTCAGTGCTGCTGCTATCCTTCTGTCACTATGCCTGAAAAATGAAGACAAGGTATAGGTGCCAAAAACTAGAGTTCTTTCAGGGGCCAAAGGTCCAACTTTACAACAGAAGCAAACATGGAAACTGCTTCAACAAAGACATTTTTGTGTAGCTAATGTATATATGGGTGATCTTTTTTGATAACTCAACAGCCTAAATTGCATTAAATTTAGTGGTGTGGCAGTATTAATTGTGGATGGCTTCAAAACAGGGCTTTAACAAAGCAATTTTGTCTTTTTAAGTGTTTACAGTCTGCAGTTTATTACCACGGGCTGCGTCCAAAATCAATGCATTGTTGTTACCCATCTACTATTGTCATACAGTACAATTTTAGAGTGGGAAATTATGTTTCTACAAGATTCTGGCCATGTAAGGGTAGGGCTGTTCGATATAACGATATATATCGGATGACGATATAAAAACGTCTATCGTTTCCTATTACGCTATCATTTGTTTCATGGTGTCGTAAAATAAACTGTTTACGGCAATATTTTTTCATCCTTTTGATGGTCACTGTAGGGGATATATTAATGTATTAAAGTTCTCTCTTTCTCTCATATTTAATATAATCACACTATGGACGGACAAGCGCCTGTTTTTACGTGTTGTCGTTAGCAATAATGACGGTAAAACCATCGCGTGGCTCCGCTGTCCGCTTGTTTGTTTTCCACGTAAACCTTTCACAATAAAGCTCAAGATCCTGTTGAGACTTTTCAAAATAAACTGAATCACGTGAAAGAGTATGCAGAGAAGGAAAAAAAAGAGCAGTCAGGTGCTAAAAAAAATAAACCTTAGACTCAAACTTTGAAAGAAAATGGTGGCTGTTACAACTTGTGTCTAAAAATGTATAGTTTCATGCATTGGTTAAAACACTCGAATCCAGGTAAAGGACGCCGAGATGGAAAAACTAAACGCAAGTCGAGTTGCCCGAGATTCACAGAATTTACAGAAAATATTACATTTTTGTGATTTATGTCATTGTCAGGACGATGAGATTTTTGTCATATCGCACAAGGGAAAAAAATGATATGTGAATTACAAAAATAGGCGATTAGTGATTTAAAATCTGTTGAAAACAGACTAGACTAACTAGAGACACAGAGAACTGTGAGTTTCTAATAGTTTTTCATTACGTCATTATCTCCAGATACTTACTATACCTAAAAGATAAAACTGCCTAAGCCTCATTATGAGCTCTGATTTTACCACAATTTACTCAGGAGGTGGAAAAAACTGCATGGCATGGCTTTAATGGACTCGGTAGTGGTGTGCAGTATTTTTAAGCTGCAATTATCTTTTCAAACCTGTTTCCAGGACTGAAAGTTTATATATTCTGTTAGAGATATATTTTTTTTAATGAAAAGGAACAAACCAGTCTTTGGCTGCAGGTTCTTGCGTGGCTCTCCAGGACCCTCAATGGGCTGATCAGCAAGAAACGTCCTCGCCTGGTCCAAAGTGCTGATTACCAAGTGCTCGCGCTCCTTCAGTTCTGACCGTAGCGCCTGCGGGAAAAGCACAGAGCAATGGCTTAGAGGGGACTTGATGTATATAAAAATGTTACTAATATCAACCACAAATGTTTTGTAACTTTTTTTTAATATATAGATCATAACAGAGTTTGAGTTTAATTTTCAAACAGTTCTTGCAGGTCCTAGTTTTTGAAATAATATACATACTAATCAACCAGTTCTTAGAGTTCTTGTGATTAAAACACTCACATCAGCCCAATGAACAAACGCAGATGTTTACGTTCTGCCTATCGGCAAGATAACCAACACATTCAATGGCTAATTAGGTGATTGCAGCACAACAAAACAGTTTCCCTGCTCAGTCTTTGCCTATTAAGAAGGAATCAAGAGGTAAGAGAGAGAGTGTGAGAGAGAGGCTATGTAAGGAGTGTCAGCGGTATTGAAAGCTCTGAGAACAGAGCAGCGATTGAAGTGCGAGTACTGGGTCAAACTGGGCTTCTCCTCTGGGTCTGTGTGAAATTAGCTGAGCAAGGCACAGAATAAAGCGAGTCACTGTAACCCTGCAGGAATAATCATTATAGAGCTTGCTAGTAACACCACACATCCTGCACATCCTCTCACAGCGCCGCTCATATTGAAATGAGCATAGTGCACCACACACTCCAGGCTCTAGTTCATGAAGTTCATGAAGCAATCTGACAAATGCTCTTAACCTTATGTCAAGAGTTCTGCCTCAGCAGAGTGCACGGCAGGCGATGGAACTACATAAAGGGGGTGAGATCGGTATGTAACGGCATAATTGTTCTTGTCGGAATATACATGTGACACCCCGAAGAACTTCATTGCCTATCGGAGTGTGTGATTGCTTTGTGAAGAGGCGATGTAGTTGAAGACACTGTGAAGCTAGTTGACCCGCTCTGATAAAGGCTCACACTTATCAGACTGATCAAACAGTCGACTGCAGCAAAAATGAGATGCAAAAGCTTGACGACAAGATGCTGGCTTGGGTGCAATCGTATTACCGGCAACATTTGAAGACGTAAGACAAGAACAATAAGAATCGCCTAGAAGAGAAACTATCCAATCCGTATGTATGAGAACACCCCACCACTCCAGCAGCTTACATCCATATACGCACATACCTGAACTGGCACCTTCTGTGTGACCTTCATTATACAATGTCATCACAATCTAATTTCATCCTTTTAGACATTTGTGTGAAGATTTGCCATAATTAGCCTATAATTTCCTCAGTGACCTTAACCCTCTCACCACTTCTTTCAATTCTATTTCACAGTTCACACACGGCTGCTGTGGAAGCATTTAAAAATAAAAAAATTAAAATTCTGGAAGTAAGTTCTTGTAAAAGTTGGATTTAGACCAATGCAATGACAATTTCACACAGCCTCCTGCAGACAAATGTACTCTCACCCTGAAATGAAGCATCCTGCTGAACACAAATTAGATCATCCCTGCTAATAAATGGTTTGCTTCGTTCCAATGATTTCCTCCCCGTTCACACAGAGGAAGCATAATAGGCAGGTAGCGCAGAGAGGGGACCTTGAGAGATAGAACGTAAATGAGAGGGGCTTGAGGAAGAGGGAAAGGGGTGTGAGCAGAGATAAGAAAAAGAGGATGAGGAGCTGAGCAGCGAGGACAACTCCCAGTTGATACCAGCGCCTTAAGTTTTCCATATATTTCCTTTTGTTTTTGCTGTCAGATGTAGAGTGGTGGTTTAAATTAGGAAATGAAATGAGGGTAAAGAGGCTGTTTATTTTCAAAGTTTGTTGCATGTTACTCGGAGTGACGCCAGTAAAATATTCCGATGTCAGTTTTGTAATGTGTTAATCACAGATAACAGCTCAGGTCGATGAACAGCATCCTGGTGGAAACAAATTGCACCTGGTTGAATAATTCAGGGAAGTCTGATTACAGCCAGATGTAGAAGGAACCAACATATATACAGCATCAAAGCAGCAAATGGCTTGTTGAAGCCATTTGTAGAACTGGCTTGTTTATAGATATGTGAAGTTTGACTTCATGTATTACACTTTTAACATCTCCAAAGATCCGTCTGCAAATATTTGCAAGTCTGATAAGTTAATCACAATAGAAGACAGAAAACAAATACTTAACCTCAGAAAATTAAGAAATATCCACTCATTTTGAATGTGATGGAAGCAACATCAAAAAAAAAAAAAAAAAAAGGAACAGTGCCACGTTTATTCAATTCAACAGTTACCTCAAGTCGCTTTATGTTGTAAAGTAAAGACCATACAATGACAGAGAAAATGAAGAAAGCTTCAACAGGGTCTGCCAACAGTCTGAGAGCAAAACGTTTTACTGGGGGGATACTGTGAGATGAATGTTGTCCAATTCTTGGCCGATACAGGATTCTAGCTGCTCTACAGTCCCAGGCCTTCTTTGTCTTGTTTTTGCATTTCATGATGTGCCAAATGTTTTCAGTTGGTGAAAGGTCAGGACAGGCAGGCAGGCACTGTCCCTTGTGCACAGAGATTTCTCTAAATTCTCTGAATCATTAAATATTAGGCCGTATAGATGATGAGGTATTCAAAGTGTTCTTTATTTTATGTTGAACATCATTACTCTGAAATTTGCAGGGGGTTTTTTGCAGATTGCTGGGCCTCTGCCGATCTTTACTTCTGAGGAGCTCTGCCTCTCTAAGATGCTCTTTTTATACCCAATCATTTTATTTTGATGACAATTAACCCAATTAGTTGCAAAATGTCCATGCATCCATTTCTTTATAGAACATTTACTTTTCTAGCCTTCAATAACTCCCAGTCCCAACTTTTTTGAGACATATTGCAAGCCATCAATTTCAAAATGGACCCCCCCCCCCTCTTTTTTTTAACGAAGTATTAATGTTTCACTTTAAACATTCTGCTAAAAATGTGTTTATGACACGCGCACATCATTTTTTCTGGTGTTTTCTTTCATAACACACAGCGTCTCACCTTTTTAAGAATTGGGGTTATATTGTCAGGAATTAATTTCGAGTCACTTCTAAGATAACGCCTACCGATTTCTTACTGAACGTTTGATTTTCCTCCTTCTCTTGTTTGAACATGTATCTCATTTCTCTCACACACTCATAATTTCTGAGATACTGTATTCTGTTTGCCATGTCTGTTGTGTAATATCACTTCTGTGAAGTGAAATGCAGTGCTGTGTTGTTGCTGCACTGTTTACTTACACTGTGTGTGAGAATAAATTCAAATACAAGCTGAAAAAAAAAAAAACTGTTGATAAAGATCATGTGGCTCAAAAGCTCAAGAACAGCCTGCAGTAAGGCCACTGTGGTCAAAAGTGAACTCTGCGTCTCAGACGTATTTACTATAATAATACCCATATTAATAATCATGTCACACAGGCATAGTTTGAGTAATAAAAAAATCCCTGTCAGTTACAATAAATGTAATATTATCTTCTAATGTAAACTGGCTCCAAAGAAATGAGCCACAGACGGCTTTAATATCTGCAACGTGAGCAGCGCCAAGTAATCCTCTTTGTTAGATACAGCCTCGCCGTCTGTTATCCAGCCACTGGGTATCCTTACAGTTCAGGCAGGTGACAGCACAAAACACTTTCACCCAACACTCAACCAAATCTTTTTAGTGAAACCTCAGCACGCGCACATTATCAGAGTTTCACACAGGGACACACTTTTCACGCTTTTTTGAAAGGCGGATATCAAACACATACGCCGCTTTTAAGTTAACAAAAAAAAGCTCTTTTTTCTCTTTTTCCCCAAGCAAATCCCAGACAGCCTTTGAGTGATGAGACATAGACATCTATGTCAAAGATAAAACAGGACAGGTCTTCTCTTTGCTCTTTTTCAACAATTTCCAAGCTCTGGCACATCAGAATATGAGCTGTGATTTATGGAGACTAGAGCAAGAGGGGACTCTTGTCACTTTCACAATGCTTCTGGCATCTACCTTGAAGCTACGAGTGACCGTGACCTTGGCTGTGAGTGTGTGATTATGTCTGTGGGCAAGTGCTTGTGCCCAGGTCTGTGTAAGAGTGTAGTTTGTGGCTGTAGCAGCACAGCAGACTCTTATCACTAAGTGCCCTGTGCTGTGGCGCCAATGAGATAACATCACAACACAGCTTCTTTCAGAGCTCTGCCAAACATCCCTCTTCCTGCTCTCAAAACCCTGCTATCTCGTCCACAATATTACCGTAGCCCTCATCTTCTAGAAGAAATAAGCCTCCCAAAAAGGACTGATACAATATACCATCTCTCAACATAAGTGAGGCACAAGGCAGGAATTTTCAGGCGCCTTTGCAATAAGGGTTCAATCACACTGCGAGAGAAGGGGGAGAAAGTCACAATACTGATGACTTCTTATTTTTCTCTAGCAAAAACTATTTTTAGTTGAGGCCAGAATTTGAACTTGTGTCGTCTGGGCCAAATTAGATTTTACAGTTGCACAGTTCATAAAGGAGCCACAGAGTGATTCAACTGGAAAAAAAAATTAATTGCTCCTTTGCCCTCCCAACATTTGCTGTTATCTCAGAATAGCTGAAAGCTAGTGATAGCTGCTAGTAGTTTGAAAACAAATGCTCCACTTAACTAATGCATCCAACCTTGGCCATTGTTAATTTAGTAACAATACCCACAGGCTGTGAAATGCCTGTGGATGTACAAGAAACCTATATGTGACAAATTCGCAGTTGCCGAAATAAAAATATAAATTTTTTCCATGTAAAACATATGTATATTTTACATTGTTGTGTTAGTGCAACTGCAATAATTTACAAGTTTGAGGTCAATTTAGAACCTTTGTTTTTTGAATCGTCACTGCATCACTCTTTAGCATAGTTTTGCAGTACTTAATGAGGTTTGCTGTCACCGATAATTATAACTGCTAACAGCAGCATTGTTCATATACTTCTTTGCTTCTTTAAGCTATCATAGCCTTTAAAAGGTTTATTGCACACTTACCAGAATAATATTAGCATTAATTTAGAGGATTCATCTCCTAACACATATGCAGTCTCTTTTTAGTAATCTGTTTTGGTTTTGATTAACTCCCAAACCTCTCTCTTCAGCTCATAAATGCTCAACTATACTAACCATCTATGTAGCAATCTGTCCGCTGTTTGGTGCATTAATAGTAGTGATAATAATTGCTTAAATATGCACTTAAACACATTAACTTGTGTTTTTAGACATAACCAACAGTGGATTTTAAATTACACAATTAAGAGGAGATTAAAATGCAGACTTTCAGCTTTAATTCAAGGGGTTTAATAGTAAATATTAAATAGTAATAGTAAAAGTATTGCGGTTCAATAAAGTATTGCATTAACGGTTAACAGTGCATCATATTCAAAGGCTCAAAAGTAATTAATTGACAAGCAGCTTTGTGGCCAGATGCAGTCTGTTCCCTTGATGTTCCATGACAAATTAAACCAATAAAAACATCTGTATTTGACTCCAAGTGTATAAGTTGTGTTTTCACCGGATCTCTCAATATGATGTCAGCAGAGATTCTGACGTGAGTGAGGGAAGCGGCCATTAGAGCAATAAACCAAAGTAAACCCATAGAGTGATCACAAACACTATGAGAGTGGCCAAAAATTTGGTAAATTTTTAAAAAGAATGAACACACTGACCACAGCAACACCAAAAGGTCTGAAACACCACATAATAAAACTGAGTTGGATGATCACAGAATTATTTCCATGGTTAAAAAAACAACAACTTCACATTAAAAACCAAATGACAGGCGAAGTGAAAAACTTTAAATTGTACCTAGATGATCAATGTTCTGCTGGATCCTAGCATCTTGATCCACCTAATCACTGCTGCAGACCATGCATACACATGGCACTGCCCTTTGGCACAAAAGAGACAATAAAGGACACATGGCGTTGACCTGGTTTGCAATTGCAAATTCCTTTGATTCTAGCTAAATCTGCATCCATGGAATGTGCTGAAACATACCGGATCTAAGGATGCCCCACCCCGGAGCTGACAGGACCCAAAGGATTTGAGGCCAATGTTTCAATACTGCAGGACAAACCCATAGGACCCCCAGCAGATAAGGGCTGGTTTTTGCCAGCAGTACTTTAGACCATCAACACACACGTCTAGCAATTTCATTAAACTGCAAGTGTAAATGAAGCAGACAAAAACAATTTAAAGTTCCTCAGAAAAACCCCCAGTGGTGAGTTCTAACAAAAGCCCTGTGTCTCCAAAGACACCCTGAGGTAAAGTCCAGCACAGCACTTAAATCCATTTCATTCTCCTTTACTACCTGTCCATTCAAGAGTAAATGGTGCTAATCAATCATTCAGGCACAATGATTAAGATGAGTCCTGTGGCAAATTATTAGACTCTCCCCACTTTAGTTTGAGTAATGGTATGCTACTTAAGCATATTTAGAAGATATGGGGAAGGGGGGTTTAACTAAATTTAAAGTATATTGCCTGTTGCCTGTATTCATTCTGAATGAGTCGAATGAGCTTTTGAAAGAACCAGATTGAACTTGCGTAACAATGCAGACAAGAAACCAACTGTTGCTGAAAGATAAGAGTCGTTAAAGATGCCCACAAGCCTCTGGTCCCTCGTTCCCACTCCTTGATCTAAAAGCTGCTAATTTAATAGAAGAGACTGATGAGTTTAATCGGCTTGATGCTAACAAAGGCGTTTTTACTGGGTAATTGAATGTGCAATTAATAAACGCTATTATGGCCATTTTAGAAGAGAAAAACACAGACACGGATCAATACACAGAGGAGGGCGGGAGAAGTAACTCAAGTTAGCACAGACAATACCCACTCAGTCGCCTCACACGTTCAGCACTTCAACAATCAGCTTGTTGAGCTAGATCTGAATGCAGCTGATGTGTTGGAAACCTAAATATTATGAATATAAAAAGATGTACTATGTATACTTTTCCTACTTCCACTAACCTGGGTTCTCATCTACTGTACATAACATCTTTCTCTTTTCTCCTCATTTAATTTTGCTTCTGTTTGCCACTTCCTGTCTATCACTTTCTGCTTGGACCACTGCTCTTTCATATTTTTCTTCCTTCCGATTCTTTAATAACGGCAATATCCGTTGCTCTCTGCTGGGCTAAGTGGCTTAGCCTTCATCTTTTATCTCTCAAAGTCTCCCAAAACAAAAAGAGAATGGAAAAAAAACTCACTCTAAGCCTTCCCTACCTCAGAGACACCAATTTCCATATATTTATATCCATGCACATTCCCCCAATCTCTCCGGCAGAGCAGCTGGTACATGCACTGCTCACCAACTGTGTCTGCGTATGTATGTGTGAGCACAGGGGACTTGCAAGTGTGTGTCTGTCAGTGTAAGCAAGTAATAGAGCATGACATGTTCAAAGCCCCAGCTTTTTGTTCTGCTCAGCCACCTCCCCTCATCCTTTTTAGGGTCACCAAGACCTCCAGGCCAATCTACTAAGAACACAGAGGAAGTGAGGGAAAAACATAACACAGGGAAAAAAATGGTAAGTGAGACTTCCGCACTTTCAACACGCCAGTTTCATTATTTCCTTTGAGTATTCTCAAAGCTGAATACCTGGAGATGAACAAGGGAAAGCAGAGAGGAGAAAATGTGAAAGAAATAGAGAGGAGGAGTGTAAAGAAAAGAGACAAAAAGGCTAGAGACAGGAACCACAGCAAAGGATGACAGAAAATGAGATAAAAGGGCTGAGAGAGGGTAATGAGAAAAGGAAAGTAGAAGTGGACATGAAGGTAGATTAAACTCTGTGGTTACTGCGTGTGCTCTCAGACTCATTGCTTATATAATGGAGCTCATCTGATCAGCTGGGGTAATGCCTTTCTCTTCTCTCTGTAAGGTGTTCAGCAGCCTCATCTCAGATCACTGAGAGCATACTCTGATGAACCCATCTCAATTAAAATCAGAAACAAGATTCCCATAAAGGCTCCAAGTTTGGACTGTCAACCAGGCAAAGTGTGGAAGAGTGTCTCTCTTTTCCCATAATATATAGTTTTTACATAATCTGCTCTGCTTTCTGAGTAACGACTCTTCATTAAGCCATTAAAAGACTATATTTAGCAGACATTACAGCAGCCAAGAAATTGATTGTGTGCCACTGGAAGAGCCCGCTCTTAGTCTCTGTGGTCGATCAGTTATGTCTTTTTTTTCCTTCTCAATTTTCCTTCAAAAAAGGGAAAGCACTGAGCACATTGCTCTAATGATTTTTTTCTTTTGAAGTTTGGAATTAGTGCTTTAAGTATTACACACTTTATTATGTGTGCGTGTGTAATTTGTCTTGTTTTTTCCCTCTCTTTCATATTTCTTTCTACAAATTATCACAGAAATGCTTCACAAAATTGAAACTCCTTTCTTTTCTATGTGCATGATTGCTTCATTAGCCTCAAACAGTATTGTATCTAACAAATTGCCATCTAAAATTACAAAATGACATTTCAAAATATAGTTTGTCAAACTTCATTGAAAAGTTACACAAAGATGTAGCAGATCAGAGAAGGCATTCAGATACAAATGCGCTTCGCGTATGCTAAGGTGTCGCAACGCAGGAGTACTGAGCTCCGTGTGCGCGTGTGCCAGCTGATCTGTCAGCGTGTCTGTGATCCTTGCGTCTGTGACACATGACTGCACACGTGTTTACTCTCAAGGCGTTTTGGGGAAAAAAATAATAGTGTGGCGAACGGGATGCCGAGAAACGCATTACGATGTCAAGAGCGGCCGGGCAGGCTGGGAGTAAACAGTAGCCACGGGCTGAGTCATTTATCTGAAAGCAATTACACTCCGGTGCACTATCACAATAACCAGTGGTTACAATAAATAATACAGTGGGGAACACTGCTGACAAACGGCACTGATGGCAAAGGTACGAATGGGTCAGCACAATAAAGGTATTGACTGCTTGTTAGAAAAACTGACTCTGTGTAGTGTAAAAACATCAATAAGTGCAATGATAAAACACGAGAAAGGACACTACTCACTGTACAGCAATGATGTCGAACCTGGCCTTTAAAACTCTACCAATGCAGGATTTTGAAACGAATAAATGTACCATAGCCACACGGCTGCTGAGCTTAACGCTTGAAAAACAATCATCGTTAGCACAGTTATATTTTTAATAACACGTTTGTTTATCTTTATGACAACAACAACGCATCTTGTGCAATTTAATATCTTTATTCTAGTTAATTAGACGTCTGCTCAGGATAAGGAGGGAGGAGTTAGGCTGCTACGATATAACATTAGCAAATTTCACGAAATAAAAGAAATCTTAACCCTCTGTACCCTAACAGGAGAAAATGATTAGGACAGTGAGGGAGATGTTAGTCAAACGCAAGGAAACCATCTGCGCACACAGAAAGAGAGAGAGGACAACTAATGAGGCATTTGCTTTAAGAAGGGGAAAAAAAGCTTGATAACATGGGGCTGGCTATATCAAGCTGAGAGTATGGTTACAAATGCTTAAAATGTGCAGAAGGAACGTTTATTTTAGGAAAAAAGTTACTTTCTTGAAGCTTCTCTCTGAAAATTTAAAGAAAAATCAATAAGGAAAGGACAAGGTATGGATAAATCTTTCAGAGTGTGGCAGGAACATCGCCTGTGGCAACAATTCATACCGTGCAGTGATTCTGCTGCTGCAGCAGAGTGGGCACATCTCCTCCGATGGGCATCTGCTTCGCCAGCTCCTCATCCTTCATGCAGATCCACCTCCACAGCTCCTCCAAAAGGCCCAGCAGTCGAGACCAGCGCTCAGCACTCACCTCCAGATGTGCTCTGCCAAGATGAAGCATCCACTTAAACTAGTACCACCAGATCCCTGTGACAGTATCCCAGTAAATCCTTTCAAACTGTACTCCTTACTTTACACTTTATTCTATACATCCGCACATATTACGGTCTCAAATTTGTTATTCTCTAAATTATAGCGTTTAAATCATATAGTAAGGTTCAACAACTTTTGAATTCTTCCTGCTACATTCTAGCTATGACTGCATTTCAACACGTAAAAAGACATATCCTTACAAAACCCTGTAAAAACCAGATTGCTAACCACTCAAAAAGAGGTCGCTGGCCTTCTGGAGTGGACGTTATTTGAAGAAGGTGGATGCAGTTGGCTGCTAACGGTGTGGGTGGCAGCTTGAGTGCAATGTGTGTTGATAATCACTTATTTTTCTCTTCTCCTCTGGGCAAAATGTATCTGAACACGGTGTACAGAGACCTCCTAATGCCACTTACCGAGTTAGCCTTAATTACACATGTACTGCAATTAAGGCATAATGGCCTGCATGCAATCATCATACCGTATCCCATCTCCCACACCCACATGCACACGCACACGCACACAGAGTTTTCTTGCTGTCTATTTCCCCGTTCTTTCCTTTCTGTGCAATGCTTCAGCTTGACTAAGTCCCATTTCTCCCACTAAAATAAACCATTATAAATTCAGAATCATTTCATCATTTGTATTGATATCCCAACCTCACTTTGTTCTCCTGGCATGGCTTTATTTACCCTCCCCTCTTCCTCTTTGAACATCTCCATCTGGCCCTGTCACCTTCACTTCTGCCTTCACTTTCTTCACCGTCCGCGTCCCTACTCATCACCAATCTTTTTTATTTATGCCAAGGTTGTGGCTGACGAGGCACTACGTGCGTGAAGTTTATGTCCTACCGTGGTTGCTCTCGGGTATTTTTTGTGCTATATGTCATCCCTCTGCTTCACGATGGACATGCAGAAAACAGGAGGCAGTGTAAGGCTGTTATAAACAACTCAAATGAATATTTCCTAAAATACTGTATGCAAATGAATATTTTCATATACGAAGAATGTTTTTAAATCATGACTACAATAGGAGCAACCTTGAGACCAATTTCAATCATGCAATCAGAAAAATCAATCCATCTCTCTCTTTTTTGTTTTTAAATTAAAGTACCACCTGAATTCCCCCCAAAATGGGACATTTCAAATTTAAAACATGCACAAATTTCTTGAATATTCATCAGCTTCAACTTCTTGCCTTCGGGATTGCATGTGTAGCAGCCCAAAGTTGGGCTGACTGCTGCGAGTCAGTCAAAGAACTACCTTCACTTCTCTGAAACTGCAGTACCAATCACAAAGAAATAGGATGACAAAAGCTCAACGAGCTATAAATTGGTTGCTGCAGGATGTTCTGTCGTAGTGTCAATAGCGCAGAGAGAGGCACGATGCAAACAGACAGCACCACTGTTTTGTGGCTATCCTGCATCGACCTGACATTTTATTCTGCAGTATTTGATGCTGTAAACGGTCACATCACATATAAAAATATCACGCAGTAGCTATTGTTCTTCCTCCTCCAAAATTTCTAAAGCATTTTAAGAAAACAACATTGGCAGCAGCCTGGGATGGAGGCTGTGATGCATAAGAGTAATGACTGAATTAATGAGCTTGTTTCTGGAATGAGTAGATTACTGAGTTAAGTCTGACCCGCCTGATGTAGTTACTGTGTAGAAGCCTGGTGTAATTTGTGTAAAATAATCAAAGTAGACACTATGGACACTGTGTTTAAAGGCGCAGTGTTTAGAATTTTCACTGAGTACAAAGCAGGTCCAAATGCAGACCATTTTACTGACATTGTTATTTCATTTTTAAATGAAAGCATTTTCTGATTGGATTGTTTTCATTTATCAACTTCCTGGGCTCCAGAATTCCACATGTTGGGGAAAAGGAAATTTTCTGATCAGGAAATAGCACATCTCCCAATGCACTACATTTAATAGTTAATCAAAACTTCTGCAATGTTATGACACACTAGCTGATTAAAAAAAAGGAGTACACTCAAGCTGAGACCTACTTGGACCATTGCCTTGAGACCTTATGCCAAGATATCTTTTTTCTTCCAAGTTTGAGAGCAGCAAAAAGGCAAAAAACTGCAATCTGACATCCATGACCCAAAAGACTCGAGAAAGCAAAAGTTAACAAGTTAAGTTGAGAGCTTTTACTGACCTGATGTTGGCAGATTTGGTCTTCAGGTCGCTCCATCGTTGATTCATGTCATCCAGCCTGTGCTGGAGGAACACGGCCTCCTCTGAGCTGCCCAGCGCTTTAACCATCTTCGACTTGTTCCCGTCGACGCTCTTGTAGATGTCATTGTGGGCATCGATCTCAGCCTGGATGTCCTAAAAATACGAACAGAGAACATGGTTTTATCAGCGGAAAATTAAAGTACAGTCAAGGGCAGCAATATAGTAGTTTCACATCATTCTTATCACAAAAAAATGGATGAGACAGCTGACTACAAGTGAACCTAAAATTTCTTCGGATTGTGTCACAAAGACTTTTCTTGAGGGACATCACAGCGTACTGCAAACAAATTTACCAGAGGGCAGAAAAGTTTATATTTTCTGGAATATCCTCAAGGTACTTTGACTAAAAAGATTTGAACTTCTATTCTTTTGCCGACTTGGAAGGCCCACGCCATCCAGAAGCAAGTCCCCGAGCAATATCAGCCTTCATATTAATGCTGGACCACCATTACATTACACCAGGTCTGAATGACAGCAAGAATTTCTCATTTTATGCTGGTATAAAGTTCTAATGCACTGCAGTGTGACTCAAAAATGCTCTGTGTATGGATGTGTGTATGTTTACAGGACCAAATTCAATATTATGACGAAGCAAGATTTTGTGTGTCTGTGTTCTTAACTCAGTGGCTCTATTACAGAACCCCATCTCAAAGGGCATGTGTGAACGTCTGTGTGTGAGGGTTAAACCACAAGGGGCGCTGACGCAAGCAGAGGATCCTGTCAAATGTTTTATTTTTAGATGTATAAAACTGTTCCGTGTTCTTCTCTCGCGCACTCTCTCTACTGGGACTCCCCTCAGTTCAACCTTTTTCAACTGCACATAAAGAAAAGACTCCAAAGAATACCATGTGTGTAAGTGTAACACTGCTTGGAGCACAGAGGTGTGCAAATGGGGCAAAATTGCTGTAGCTAATAAAAGTGTAATAAGACATACAGCCTACAACAGTGCCGGAACGTAAAATAATACAAGACATGGTGTATAAAATTACACATCTTCAGCAGCTTAAGTAGTTAATTGTGTATCATTTGCACTGGAAATGTAATATTTTACATTTACTCTAATTATAAAAACACAGGAAAATCTTGGAAAAGGCCATTGTTGCGGAATTGCTTTCCTATCCTCTGCATCACTATAATAACTGTGTGCAGTAATGGAAAGGGTCTGTACTGCCATTAATGTGCTACTACACTAACTAGAGCCTAACGGATACACTGATCACCCCGTGCTAATTTTGGCCTATTACAGATGAATTAATGAACATATCTTCAAAATGTTTCTAGATATGAAACTTTTTAATATTACACTATTATATTTGTAAATTATACATCATAACTGAGCAGTTAAGCAATGTATTTGTGTTAAGTTTCTCACTGGTTTGTCAAAAATGATTAGGGATTTGGCAATGTCCCCCATTGTTCCATCATCCTGCCGTTCCCCAGTGAGTAGGGAATGGGCACAGAAACCTGGTATTAAACAGGCTCCGGAGCTACATTATTAAAAGATTAGAGTATTAGTAACCTACAACATTATTGGAATTGGTTTCGGTACTGGATTGCTTAAGAAAAAAGAATGCAGTCATATTCTAGTTTCATTTTTCCTGCCCAGTTTCCTTAATAATTTGCTATTCAATATCCTGAAGATAACTCCTCTCGCTCGACTTGACTGAAGTCTGCTGTAGACACGGACAGCTGGAAACACAGGTTCAGAACCCATTTCATACTTCCTTGAAGCTCACCTCAAGTCCACCATCTGGGATGCAAGTCCAGTTGGGGTGGGTGTAATGTAAATTCTCAGGATGAGTCCGCGATCACAAAAAAAAAAAAAAAAGAAAAAAGAAAAGAAAAGAAAAAAAAGACAGGTACTCCCCATTTACCAACAAAATTTGCATCACTTGAACCCAAGCGGCTGCAGAAAGTATAATCAAGGCTTAACAGGAATAACTATCCGGCCATTGTGTCTCCAGCTGTCCGTGTCTGTGTCAGCAACAGAGTATAAACAAGGCTTCAGGCGCACACATCCACAGACTCTGGTCTTAGTGAGGACTGAGGAGAAAATGAAACTCTCCAAAGTGATGGATTCACTTGGCCAGAGCCGACACTTACAGTACTCATTGCCACAAGTGCAACAGGTCAAAACATGAGTAGCGTGTGAAAACATTGAATGAAAGTCCATCACACTAAGGTGAAAAAATGAAGAGTTTTCAACCGTCCAACTAACATGACCTACATGTAGCGATGCCAAGTGTGTGCATTTTTTGTACACAGAAAAAATCCACTGACAAAAATCAGCCGTGGTTCCAAATACATACTCCAATATAAACAGAGGGAAGACGCTGAATGGGTATAAACAATACAGGAGACTCAGAGTGGATGTATGTTAGACGAGTATGAAAAGACATGACCTGTGTATATGTTTTGAATAGTTTAGAGTTTAAATACTCTGCAAAGTGCGCTGCTGAAAAACAAAAAATACATTTCAAAAAGTAAATTTCAGCCACAGTGCAACCAGACTGCACATGAAACGACTACACACAGCTACCTGTGGCAATATGCCGCAGTTAGTTAATGCCAATGGGCATTTCACTGAAGGCCGAAGCAAATGCCTCTGCTGTGATCTGCAAGGATAATCATCCACTGCATTTTTTTAAGGCGCAAATAAAATCCTTCTTAAAGGTTACAGAAGAAAGAAGGAAAGCCAGGGAGAGACGGGCAGAGGGAGAGGATATGGAGATAAAGACAGAAAGAAAGAGTAACACCAAGAATAAAAGACACAGACACATTTGGCTTCTGAGCCAGCTGGCTGTGTTTCAAGTCATTACCCAAGTGCTTCCCTTATATTTTCCTTTAGCGCTTCTACTTCCAGTGGAAATAGTTTGCACACACTAGCACATTCACATATAACACAGAAAGCATACATTGAACGGACATACAACGGCACATATATTCATTTACAAAACCCCCCTTTTAGGGTGTATTTCAACTAATGAAAGACTGCTTGCAGCCAGAGGATTGTATATGTTGATGTATAAGTGTAGCGACGGATCATTTTCTCCCTCTCGTCAACACAGACATACCCAAACACACACATAAAAAACCATTTGTATGCCACAGGTCACCATGAGAGTAACCACCGGCCTGTGTTTACTTTTCTTCTATGTTTTATTTATGAATTATTGACTAAAAATGGACCATTTTAGGTCCTGGCAAAGGACCTCAAATATGCCTCCTCTCCTCGATCTATAAACTCGCACTCACCATACACACAAACACTGATTTATGTGCGAGTGGGAAGAAAAGCAGCAGAAAGGTTAATGGTTCTGGATCTCATGCACACTGTAATGAGTGATAGAGATTTGCTGGCTGTGAGCTTGTTGGAGCTGGAGAAGCGATTCGACCGAGTCTCCCTGGAAACTGAAGCAACAACTACTGCTTAAAGCTTTATGAAGGATAAAAGCATTAAACATGCTGTTAAGCTATGGCTGAAGGGCAAAAAAAACAAAACACCCAGACGTGCTCGCCCATCGGTGAAACTCTAACCTAAAGGAACTTGTTTACATTAACAAAACAACAATGACCCTTACTTGGCTAAGCCATGTTAGCCTTTAGATCTTAATAAAGCAATTAGCGTAAAGGTCCGCTTTGACAAATGATGCTGATTTCATGGCTGTGGGTCTCATTCTATACTAATTCGCTCTCTGCACAGTATCGTCTCTCAGAACCATTCATTCCACTTTAATGAGTCCAATAAGGACTGCTTAGACTTCATAAAGCTGACTAAATTTGGACCACAACAACAAAGATAGGGGGGAAAAGAAGAATGAAAGATGGTTGTGTTTGTACTGATAGTTTGCATCATTCAAAAACTAAAAGAAGTCAAGCTATGACAGAACAGACTTATAATATACCTTTTCAAACTTTCTGAGCAGCTCCTGCAAGCTGAAGTTGAAGCCAATCATTCTGACTCCTCCTACTCCCTTGTGTCCCTACATCTTCTCTACTTTCATACAGATGAAAGGATGTTTCAGGTTTAGGGCAAGTAGACAAGTCCTCCAGTGGTTATGGTCAAAACCAGAACATTCAAGGTAAGCGTTCAGATCAATAATAAATCCAGAATTTGAAGAATCTCGAATCTGGCAACTGAAAAACCCAGCTCTTGCAAAAAATCCAGACACAAAAGGGTCAAAACCAGGTTGCAATCCCAAAACAGGCAATTTACACACCCCTTGGCAGCATTCGAACATGCATGCCGGTGCGTGTGCTCGCCTAATCCCGCCACATGTTGGTAGCATCCTCCTTTGAAAGGCAGCCAGACTGCATAGGGAAGGTGACAGTTACCCTGCAGTCATGCTTCAGAGCTGAGACAAGGATTTAGGGACAAGTGGTGCCACTGGAGGTTTGACAGAGTAGCAGCTGTAGGCTGATTGTTGAGTTCCTCGGGCCAGGAATGGAGCACTTAAACCGCGACAGAAATCCGACAAATCTTGGGTGGAGGTCTGCAAAGTGGAGATAACGGTTTGTGTCTTGAGGGACGACTGGTGTGGTTGAGGACAGGTCTGCGCTCTCCTTCGGGTTTGCTTTGCTTTCCTTCTACCACTTCCCTTCAAAGTATGAAGGAAGCTTTGTTCACCGTGTCCAGTAGTCCAACCCTGGGCAGGGCCGGGACGTTTGCTCTCAATTAGTGAAATAAAAAGCACTTTCTCTCATCCAGTCTCACACACACCAAGAGGAGAGACCACAGCAGACGGAGGCACGTGATTTACCCTTGCTAAAGGTAACTTGGGCTCAAAGAGACAGAGTCCCCCTCAGCGTCCGACTTGCTACCAGCCCCAGTTTGGTCGCTCTATGACACCCTCCTAATCACTGCCATAACTGGGCCACTTAGTCAAAGAATGCCGCCTTCTTTTTGTTGGAGCCACATGTTCGCAGAGAGCTGCCTCGAGGTTCTGCGTCTAGATCCTGAACAGCGAGTCTGACACTTTGGCCCCTCTTTTGAGTTGGAGCTCTGCCGGTTATCCCCTTGTCTCTTGGGAAGGTGAAAGAGATGAGCGGGACCTATTTGCCATTCCGTCCTCTCTCCCTCTTCGAGAAGAAGA